GGCTACTGGTAACCATCAGCCAGAGTATGTCACTTCGGTCCTTAAAAACGCCAACTTCTACCGTGTGTCCCATGACAATATGAGGGTGCCTTGCGCCAGAATTATTTTACTCCCGTCTACAGGCCCTGTAGATCGCATAGTGACAGGTAGTCAAAAGTGAGCAGAATTCCAAACACACACTGTCGCAAACAACGATTTTCACCGTGTGCCCCACAGCATGGTGGGCGCAGGTCGGTGACTTGCACAGGAATTAGTTAATAATGATAGCAGACTTGCGCGGCGTCTATCACACTCTTCCATTTCTCGCCCAGCTGGGCCTGAGGGCAAAACAGAGTAGAGACAACTGTAGGTGAAGTTGGGCGTAGTGTCTGACGGGGCTAGACTGTTATCTACGCGTCCTATCTGCTTTGCCTTGGTGCTCTGGTCTACTGTTCTAGCGAAACCGATAGCAACAGACGGCCAATGCTGAAGAAAATTCCCACACACACAATGTCGGCTCGACCGTCCCGAATAACGGTGTTCATCGTGTGCCCCACAGCCTGATAGACACAGGTCGGTGACTTGCGTATAGATTAGCTTACAGTGATAGCAGGCTTGTGCAGCATTCGCTGTCTTCCCTCATTCATCTGAGCCCGCTAGTAAGGTAGAGTCAGGAGGAAACAAGAAGTAATTGACTCGGACCCCATCTATTTCCTGTTAAAACCTAAACAAGCGAAATTTACGCTGTATTCCAAGTTTACACGTCTTGCTTCTGTTTGATTCGTACTTGTGTTGTACGACCATGCTAGTAACTTACCAGTATGGGTGGTCATTGTGTTCGTCTGGTATTGTTAGACCTCTAGAGTAAACTTACACGTTTTCTCCTTCTTCCTCTAGTTTTCTCTCCTTTTCAGACATTCTTCCTATTGTGCATCTATAAAGGAGCCTTTTGCTTGTGTTCGCATCCCTTTAGTCCGCAATTTAATGTTTGTCGGTGGTTACGTTAAGTGTCTTTCGTGGTCGCCTTGCTTCATCTCCGATGCCCATGTCCAAGAGGACCAGCCATCCTTCCTTGCAGTCTCCACCTTCCGTTCACCTGCCACCCGACCAAAGTACTCCGACCTCACGCAGCCTGGACCGGGTGTTATCCAGATCTTTCAATGTTCTGGCCTATCTCTCTGCAAAGGGTACATTCTCTATGCTTTATAGATGGAAACTCACTGTAAATGAGCTTCATATCGTGTCATTACCAGTCGGTTGATAAATTCAGACACACACACATACACCACTTGCTTATGAAAGAGCGAAGAGAGAGAGAGAGTGGACCGATGCTGAGGTACCCTTTCTCGGGACAGTTCAGCAC